TTCATAACCATTCGTTCCATAAGTTTGCAAATATTGGAAGTCAGAGATATTGGTCTATAATTGATTGTCTGAGATTGATCTTTTCCTGGTTTGGCGATCGGCACCACAACCCCGTGCTTCCACGCATCAGGCAACTTCCCTGTTTCCCAAACCATATTAAAGAGTCCTAATATCATATTTAATGACACATCCGATAAATGTTTAATCATCTCATAACAAATATCATCTTTCCCAGGAGAAGTCTGTTTAATCCCCACCAATGCTCTTTTCATCTCATACAATGTGTAATCTGAATCTAGTGTGCCTCCATCTGGATTCTTTTTTACAAATATCTGAGCATTATCCATCACACACTGTTCCCTGTACTTCCTCATATCCTCTGATATATTCGCATTGCTATGAACCTTAACAAATGTCTCCACTAATATTTCAGCTTTATCACTATCAGTTACTGCAATATTGTTGTTGTCAACTAACACCGGAATGCTAGTATTCCTCTGAATTCCTCCCATTTTCCTGATCATACCCCACAGTTCATTAATTTCAATTTCTACCCCAATTTTATTACAACTCTCTCCAATAATTTTTCTCCTCACCATTGCCTGAGCTCTTTTATAATTAACAAAATCAGTGAACACTAGCGATTTTCTTGCTTTCCTAAGGGCTTTATTTCTGTTACAAACTAATTCACTACATTTTTCTTTCCACCATGGGACTGCTTTTCTTCTGTTTTTAGATTTGTTTTTGCCAATTACCTTCTCTGCTGTATTTCTAAGTACATCACTTATTTTAGTACTTAACTCATCTACATCCATATCCGAATAGTTAATTTCAGCCATTTTATTTTGACACAATTATTTTATTCAGCAGTGTTAAACTTCCATTTACTTAACTCATCTACATCCATATCCGAATAGTTAATTTCAGCCATTTTATTTTGACACAATTCTTTAAAAATCCCCCATTCAGCAGTCTTAAACTTCCATCTTGGATTTCTCACCACTTCCACTTTTGTTATGTCCACCCCAATTTTAATAACAATAGGAAAATGATCACTTCCTATAGTACTTTGCTTCATTACATTCCATTCACACTTTCCAGCTAAATTATCAGACACTAACGTTAAATCTAATGCTGAATCACGCCCACGATTAACATCTATTCTTGTATTACTTCCATCATTAATGCATACTAACCTTCCCCAATCAAGCATATCTTCAACAATCATCCCATTCAAATATCATTTTTGTTACTCCCCCACAACGTGCTAGGTGTGCTAATCACCACACCAAATCACTTTATTCCCTATATTCCCACCAATATTTTCCAACACATTTAAACTCATCTTCTCTCATGGATTGTAGAAATTAATTACTTTATAACTTTGTATCCCTTCCCATACTTCCACCACTACTACCTCTTGCTCCACATCTCTTACAATATTTCTAAACCCAATTCCTTGTTTAATGAAAGTAGCTACCCCACCTCCATTCCCTTGTTTCCTATCTTTCCGAATTATTGTATATCCTTGTAATGTAAAATTCAACTGTGGCTTAAGCCAAGTTTCTTGTATACATATTATATCTGGGCTGCTTTCTTTCTTGGATATATATTCTTTAAATTCTTGACCATTTGCAATAAGACTTCTAGCATTCCACTGTAAAATTATAAATACCATTAAGAGCCACCACATCCTGATTGCGAGCTTGTTACATATACTTTTAGATTTTCATTTATCATGTCTACAGAAATACCCTTTATCTCCAAATACTTTTCAGCTGCTTTGATTATTATCTTGATTCTTTCTGTCCGGCTATCAGTTTGAGCAGAACAGTTGACAACTTCTGCCATAAACGACACAAATGACACTTTGTCTGTGATCTTTGATATCTCTTTCTTTTCATCCTGTTTGCTTTTCATTTTTTGTTCAGGTTATGATACCCTATGACTCCCTACTTCATTCTTCTTTCCAACTTTCTTTAGCGCTTCAGAATACGATATCCCTTCCTCGACTCTGACCGTCTGAACTTGCGCCACCTGCTTCCTCACCTTACATCCTCCATATCCCACTGTGCTCTCCTCCGCAATTACAGCATTTGGGACTAATTTCTTGCCCACATTGACCATATTCATGTTCACCCCCACATCTTGCGCATCTCTGTTTACCCCTGCAAACTGCCGCCACATGCCCGTACCTTTGGCACTTATAACATCTCAGAGGAGGCGGAATATATGGCCTGACCATATAACTTACAAATCCTAAGAAGACTCTGCTAGGTAGCTTATTTTCATCAAAGTAAATCATGACTGAGAAACTGTACATTTTTTTATTGTTTCTAGTACACTTCAATCGTTTCATGTTGAACACTGTCGCTCCAGTTAAATTGTTCTTAATCGTTTCAACTTGAACATCAGGAGATACTCAATACTTTCTTCTTTGCGAGAAAAGCATTTTCTCTACAAAACTCAGTTCGCGCGCATGCAAAACGCACTTTTGCGTGCTCAAAATATGATCTTTCGCGTGCAGAATTGTGGCAGAGATGTAATTCCATACTTTAGGAGCTCAGAAGAACAACACGGCTAAAAGCACAGAGCTTTACGATTAGTTTTTTTAACCCTGTAAAGCCTGACATATGAAATATTAGTTAATTAAAAATTTAAGAATTTATTGGATCTTTAGACAAAATATAAAAGAAAATCTAAAAAAAAAAAGTGCATGTTTTATGCTTTGAATCATATTTGATACATCAAGCTTTTAAGGCCCAAATAGTATGATTTAGTGAGAATATAGAGCTCTTACTCAAGAAAGAAAAATTCAGTGGCCCAAACTGAACAGAAATATGCAATTTCGTGCAAATGTTGTTATTCGTTAAAATTTTTTTATGAAATTCTGATAGCTTGTAATGTAAATCAATGAGATTTTCTGACAGTATTAACAAACTACTTAAATAAAATGCATGGAAATATCATTAATGAATACTAAAATGCAACTGAATAATAAAATGCAATACTTCTTCCCAATAATATGTCTTAGTAAGAAGATTATGATAAAATATATTTTATTATTGTTATTATTGTACTAGTGGTAGTAATTAGGGGCATACATTGTTGAGTGATGTACAAATAAACGTTCCTCATATATTACATTTTAACCTGATAAAAATAATATTTAAAAATAATTCATAAAATAAAGCCAAGTTGCTTCAGTCTAGTAAATGTTCATATTGCACTATTAATAACAGTATAAAGGTCATTATTTTGTTTATTTTATAAAAATCACTACAGATTTCACAGAATAAAGATGCATGCACCACAACCTGAATGTGGACATTTTTATAATTAATCTAAAAGGCCTTTTACTAGCTAAAAAAAAGTATGATTTAGTGAGAATATAGAGCTCTTACTCAAGAAAGAAAAATTCAGTGGCCCAAACTGAACAGAAATATGCAATTTCGTGCAAATGTTATTCGTCAAAAATTTTTTATGAAATTCTGATAGCTTGTAATGTAAATCAATGAGATTTTCTGACAGTATTAACAAACTACTTAAATAAAATGCATGGAAATATCATTAATGAATACTAAAATGCAACTGAATAATAAAATGCAATACTTCTTCCCAATAATATGTCTTAGTAAGAAGATTATGATAAAATATATTTTATTATTGTTATTATTGTATTAGTGGTAGTAATTAGGGGCATACATTGTTGAGTGATGTACAAATAAACATTCCTCATATATTACATTTTAACCTGATAAAAATAATATTTAAAAATAATTCATAAAATAAAGCCAAGTTGCTTCAGTCTAGTAAATGTTCATATTGCACTATTAATAACAGTATAAAGGTCATTATTTTGTTTATTTTATAAAAATCACTACAGATTTCACAGAATAAAGATGCATGCACCACAACCTGAATGTGGACATTTTTATAATTAATCTAAAAGGCCTTTTACTAGCTAAAAAAAAGTATGAACTATCAGCCAGATGACAGAAGGCATGTAGTAGATTATGTTGGTAATTTAGAGGCCTTAGAAATCCACCGATCAAAGAAGGCTTAAGCAGATATGAATCTACTGTAAAAATAAAAGTGTGAATTTGCCTGTTCAAGTCTCACTGGCCTAGCGAGCTAGACTGACAGCTGCTAGTATTACTGATACTGACAGAACACATTCTGACTCAAGCAAAATATAACACATGATTCGACCTTAGTAGTAAAAGTTGGGTTGTGTTCTTTACTTCAGACCTCGAGTTTGTATGTCTCCGCTTGTCTGTGAGTCTTCCAGATAGTCTGTGCATTAGACATGAAGTACAATTGATGACTCTTTCTGCACTGCAGGCTACATTGTTATGGCAGTAGGCGGTGTCAAGCAGTCTGTATAAAAGAGTCATAGAATCATTGACTCAAAAAACCTTAATCCATGAATGAAACATGAGTTGAGTCAGTGTCAGTTCTAAACAAATGATTTGTGAGTGATTCACCACTTCACTCATAACTTGTGTTGTTCTTAAATTAATCAGTGTTCTTAACCATTTGGTTGGGTGAAATGATTCAATGACTCATTCAAAAAGATCTACTGGTGTTGTTGTTCCAAATATCAGCACATCTGTGATTACCTGCAGCCAAGTCAGAGGTCTGGCAATATTTGGAACATCAGCACTCTTTCTCATTTGTACTGTATGTTGTTTCTTATACAATCCACAAATAAAACAACTCAAAATCTCGTAGACTAATACATGCGCAGTAGCCGGCTGATTGTGAGACTGAAAATTTGCATTAAAAACATTGGTGCAATGAATGAACCACAGTGAAACTTATCATCCCATATGTTTATTTAAATAACAGTTTATAACACCTCAAAAGTGGAACACATGAACCTCATATGGTTTTGGTCTCACTTGAGACTAAACAAACAATAAATGATAATCTGTGAAAATAAGTTACTTTTATAAAATAAAATAATATAAAAACTTATATTTGTGTATGGTCTACATTAGTAACTATCTCCCTGACTTTGTTCAACAAGTGTATTTTGTCAGTTTTTCTCAAACAGGTGAAATCCATCCCTTATATTCCAACCCCTCCATCCCGTTCCTTATTCCTCATTCTCTACCGACTCTGTAGCACTTTGAAGTTCAGCCTCATACCGTCTCTTCAACCCCTTCAGGTATTGACGTAGGCTCTCTGGATCCAGCCGTGAGTTACGGGCCGTCTGCAGCAGTCTGGTGGCTTGACGATAGACTGCCCTCTGTTTGACCGTGTCAGGATCACTGTAATGCTTGGCCTTTGGACAACACAGTGAAGACACAGGGTCAATAACCTTGTAGGCTGTCTGTATCTGATTTTTCTCCTGTACCTCTACAATATATTATTCATGAGTCATAAACGTCCAAGAAGAAACATACCCACAGCTTTTGGTTGATTTTAGCTGCGACAGTTTTGGCTTCCTCAATAATGTCTGACGGGAAATTGGTAATCTCCGCTGCTCTTATACCTAACCAAACAGCTTCACTTATTATACACATTAAACAAAAGTAGTTTAGAAAAACTTGGAATCATCTTAACCCACCATAGTTGCGCTCCTCTGATTGGCCTCGGCTGAGCTGGTATGTGTAGACAACCCTGTCTCTGCCATCTTCAGTGCGGACGTGCTGAACCTGCATGTGCTGGTTCTCCACATTGGGGTAAAGTGTTTGCAGCTGGCAGAGCTCAAGAAAGTGTGTGGCAAAGAGTGTGAAGGCCTACAGCACAAAGTTTGGTTAGCTTCTTATAAAAATACTGCTAGTACGGATGTTATAATAACAGATCAAGTATGTTTGTTTTTTATATCTCTCGTTATTGTATCATACATATACTCTTGATGAAGTAAATACAGCACCTTAAGATTGATGAGGAATTCACAGACACTGTGGCAGATGCCAATGCCTTCCTCGGGACTGGTGCCTCGCCCCAGCTCATCAATAATGATGAGTGACTTGGTGCTTGCGTTGTGGATGATGTAAGAAACCTAGGAGTACAGTTGAGAATGAGAAAATACTTTTTTGATTGAGTACTTGATCTATCTGTATATATCTCTATACGAGGGCTGTCTGAAAAGTATCCAGCCATGTAATATGAAAAATAGAGACATTTATCGAAGAAAATACAAGATACAAGAAACACTGTACACAGGACAATGACGCCTCAGTCCCATTCAAAGGTGATTTTAGTTTTGGGAAAAGCCAGAAGTCGCAGGGCACCAAATCTGGGCTGTAGGCGAGCTGAGTCACCTGGGTGATTAGATGTTTCCCCAAAAACTATGCATGAGACGGGATACATAGGCGGGTACATTGTTGTGATGAAGCCGCCAATCTCCAGTTGTCCATAGTTGCGGCCGTTTTTGTTGGATTGCAGCTCTCATATCTTTCATATTACATGGCAGGATGCTTTCCAGACAGCCCTTGTATATGCTATTTTTTGATACATACCGAGACCATGTGTATACAAAATATACATGTGTAAATACAAATTTTAAGACATGACACTACATTTTTAGGTTTCATTAATCAAATATCAACAAAATTAGCTTTTTCTTCCACAGTGTCTAAAACTGACCTCTTTCATCTCAATCATAAATGTGGAGGAGTTGGTCTCAAAGTCATCGTCTACTCCTATTCTGGTGAATATCTGATCTGCAATTCGAACAGAGGCATACTCCGCTGGCAGAAAGGACCCTGGGACAAAGAAGACTTTTTAAATAAGTTTGTTTTGATCCCACAGGACTAGAAGAGACAGCTGGTGCTAAACCATGCACAAAGACAAGCATATTAATGCAAGATCCTAGAACCAACCCCAAACATGCTCATCATTACCCACAACCACTTACTGTATATAAGCAGTGTTTGCAAGTGTGGAAATTACAGAGAACTATGTAGTGATCAAAAAGTGTATATATATATCTTTTACTAATATTTAAATTTGTTTGATGATCTGAAACATTAAAGTGTGACAAACATGCAAAAAAATAAGAAATCAGGAAGGGGGCCAGCACTTTTTCACACCACTATATATATATATATATATATATAAAAGCAACTCTGTGTACCTATCTGAGCCATTATCTGGCAGAGGGCCACCTGTTTAAGGTAGGTGGACTTGCCACTCATGTTGGGGCCTGTTATGATCACAAAATTGCTTCCCTCAGAGATGTAGATGTCGTTGGAGATTTGTTGTTGCCCAGAAATGCGCTCCAAGATTGGGTGGCGACCCTGCTTTATTGCCAACGTATCAGTGAATTCAGGACGCACTGTAGGAAACAAATCATTATATTTGTTTATACTTTTAGGTTATTAAAGAAAACCTCGGGTATTAAGACTTGTATGGCTTAATATAATGCAAATGATGTCTCTTACTGAATATGTAGTAGAAAACACATGAAAGATTTATGTTATTTTAAAAAATCCACATCGTCTTATATTTTGGACTGTGGGGGTGCCATTATTTTGAAGACATGAAATAGTGAGCTTTTTTGGCTTTTTGTTGTCGACAACAAGAAAAGCTATGCAAGTCTTTCCTAGTGATAAGAAAAGGAGAAAAGAATGGGAAGATGCCTGTGGACGAACAAAACTCTCGCAAAAAAGACCCATGTCTTTGTTCTCTCCACTTCAGCCCTGATGCCTTTGAGGCTTTCAGTAGACCACAGCTACTGAAAGAGCTTACAAACGGCAGAGACAAGAAACGCTAGATGCCATCCTGGCAGGATGTAAACATGCCAACGCTTGTCATGATGCCACAGCCACTGAAGGATTTTCCCAGCGCAGATTTCACTCTATATCCATGGGAGTTTATACTCCTTGTGAGGAAAAATCGATGCTACGGCATTTGGTTTAAACCAATGCTTATATCCATCTTATCAGTATTTTATTTTGCGAGTTGTGTATTCCAGGTTGTGTTGCGGTAAAAATAACAACAGGTAGCACAAGTAGCTCACAGAGTGCAACAATTTTACATCATCGAAATAATGGTGCCCCCATAGTCCAAAATATGTATAAAACTATGTGATTTTTTTTTTTAAATAACATAAATCTTTCATAAATGTTCTACTACATTATTCAGTAGGAGACATTATTTATATTATATTAAGCCATACAAGTCTTAATACCCAGGGTTCCCTTTAAATAATAAAAAGAAATCAATGCTATCAATAGCTAAAAGGAGGGAAAAAATAATTTGCTCACATAAATGTAATAACGTATATTATGCTTATCTGGTTCTTAAACATTACCGTAATCTGAGACAGTGCAAGCGTGAGCCAAAGAGAGCAGCATGTCCAGCATTGACACAGCATCGGACAGTTTGTACAGGCAGTGGATGTGTTCACAGACATCACTCATTAACCTGGACACCACCCTGCAGTTTACATAAATACCATCTATGCTTAAAATGCTGCATTTTTTTCTCATTCTTACACTAGTTATCTTACAGAAGTCAAACGTATTTTGATCTGCTATATACTCACACATAAGACATGTGGAAAATGTCTTTCAAAGCCTCCTCACAGTGGTCATTCATTTTCATGAGGTCTACAGTGGTGAACCCATAGTTGTTCTTCTGTCTGGTCACCTATAGTGTTTAGAATCAAACCACTGGCAAACACTTGCTACCAACACTTTAATAATAAATAACACTTTTAATAATAATAAACATCTGGCTTACATGAACATATATGATGTATTTAATATATGTTATATTTAACACACTTATGAAGACGTTCAGTAAAGTTTTAAAAGGTAATTTCTTTCTCTCTCACTTTGATGAACTCCTCTGGTAACTTCCCCCCAGGTAAGACCCCACCCTCCAGCTTCATTTGAATAAAGAAGCCACGTGTGTTGCTGAAACTTGTCCGGAGGGGTAGGCTGTACTTCTCTCCAAGCTGAGCCACCAATCCTGATCAGCAATAGCACAACACATCAATAATGCTGACGTTCATGACAAAACATATAAATAGGATGGAATGTGGAAAGATCTGATTAGTAACTGATATAAGTGACTGCGACATGTCATTTAAACATACACGTCTGACCACATTTACAATGCCTATTTGAGATGAATAAACTTTTTGTTAAATTATGAAATTTAATGAACATTATAAATGGATCTCAGGAACAAAATGTAATAATAAAACTGTATTTAACTCCTGTAATGATCAGGGATCATCTATTGTGGTGGTGTGTTTAGGGCAAATTAACTGGTAATTCACAATTCACAAACAAACCTTTTCACACTCTACTGAAGTTCAGGAGCTCACCTGCTATGTCATCTACCACTTCTGTGTAGGCTCGCCGTGCAATATCTAAGAATTCGCTGACATTGGGCCGCACAGCATAGCACTTCTGCGTGCGCATGGTCAAGCTACCTTTCATGTAGCTGGTGTCATCATTAATCAGTGATTTGATCTGATCCAGAATGCTGTTGAACCTAAACCAACACAAATGAGAAAAACATTAAAGATGAAATAGTAGTTTCTGTTGGGCTGCATGCTAGAACTCTAATTAAACCTTCAAATGCATATATAAAATGCTGATTGATCTCGATACACATGTGGGGCTCATAGAACCTCCTTGCGGTATACACAACACATCATCTACTCTTATGAAAGGACAGGCTCATATTTCATGTTAAACAAAAATGGCCAGTGCAAGATGTTAGCACATATGCAAATATAGTTCACTAATTGTATTACCTGCTGTCATCAAGTGAGGTGTAATATGCTTCCAACAAGGCTGTTTTGGAATGTGACAGCATCGCCTAATCAGGGAAAATATACTTATATGTGGCATAATTACATCTGCAACTGAGCATTTTAAAAGGCCTTCTCAACCAAGTCAGAAAAAAATACACTCAGTATACAATCATGACATATAGATAGATTTACATAATTACAGGTGTTTCATGACTTTACTTACACTTACCAAAATGCTACAAGTGATAGTAAATAAGGTCAATTGATTTAACTTTGACTTTACACTGAGGTGAGATGACTACTGCTCTTATTGGTAGCTGAAAGCATTAAAATATATGTCAAAATATGGGTACTGCAATTCTTTGGAAATCTGCTGAGCTTTCCAGTCATATTCAGTGCAGGCCTGAATGACTTTGTGTCTTACAGTACTATTTGACAGTATTTTTAAGAAATGCATAGGCACGAGTTACCTTCAATGATGGGACGAGTTCCAGAGTATGCTTCAGCTGAATTACTTGCATTATTTTTGCTTCAGCCACTGGTATCTACATAAACCATAAAAAAGATTACCTTTGCTAATTAGAGTAACTGCTAAATTAAATCTAACAATGGTGGCTTAAAAAGTCATTTTAAAGATGAAAATCTTGAATTTACAAGACAAAAAGCTCTCTTGCTGAAGGATTTTGCCTAGTATTTAACTAGACCTTGCTGAGCTTTCCAGTCATATTCAGTGCAGGCCTGAATGACTTTGTGTCTTACAGTACTATTTGACAGTATTTTTAAGAAATGCATAGGCACGAGTTACCTTCAATGATGGGACGAGTTCCAGAGTATGCTTCAGCTGAATTACTTGCATTATTTTTGCTTCAGCCACTGGTATCTACAAGATTAAACCATAAAAAAGATTACCTTTGCTAATTAGAGTAACTGCTAAATTAAATCTAACAATGGTGGCTTAAAAAGTAATTTTAAAGATGAAAATCTTGAATTTACAAGACAAAAAGCTCTCTTGCTGAAGGATTTTGCCTAGTATTTAACTAGACCTCCTGAAAAAAAGTAATGACATGCTAATTTAAATTGAATTTTAGTGAACATTTTGTAAAATCAATTACTCACCAAATCGCCCTGAATAAGAAAGCAACATTATTTTGGTCAATACTTAAATATGTACTTAAATTGGTAAATGTGTTTCTTATGCATACCGTCTCTTGCTTTGGGACCTGAATAAGAGCAGACAGCAGATCATCTATATCTAGGAAGTGTGCAATGGCTGTGAATTAAAGCACAACATCAATAAAGTCCCGCCAGGTACGGCACTTTTTCTGGACAGAGATCAGAAACCCCAATGTGGATATTTTTTCTAAATTAATCCAGACTTTTTTAGATGCATATAAGGGTGAAAATATCAAAGGGGTCATAGGCAAACTGTATAGTGCAATCTCTTCAATGAATAAAAATTCAATGGAATACATCAGACAGCGATGGGAGAAAGACATGAGGGAGGAATATCAGAGGACGTATGGCTTCTTGCATGGAAAACTCAGTGTTCTATGACTCATTCATTAATCTGGAGAGATTTTGGGTGTAAGTTCTCTGGGAAACAGCCCCCTTGCTGGAGGGAGTGTGGTTCTGTACAAGCAGACTCTGCCCACATTTTTGGGTTATGTCCACATATTCAGTATTTTTGGGGAAGAGCAGGGCAATTAATATCAAGGGTAATAGGCTTTAACATAGACGTGTCATTTCCCACTATGTTTCTAGGGGTCACATGTGGATATTTTTTCTAAATTAATCCAGACTTTTTTAGATGCATATAAGGGTGAAAATATCAAAGGGGTCATAGGCAAACTGTATAGTGCAATCTCTTCAATGAATAAAAATTCAATGGAATACATCAGACAGCGATGGGAGAAAGACATGAGGGAGGAATATCAGAGGACGTATGGCTTCTTGCATGGAAAACTCAGTGTTCTATGACTCATTCATTAATCTGGAGAGATTTTTAATAAATAACACTTTTAATAATAATAAACATCTGGCTTACATGAACATATATGATGTATTTAATATATGTTATATTTAACACACTTATGAAGACGTTCAGTAAAGTTTTAAAAGGTAATTTCTTTCTCTCTCACTTTGATGAACTCCTCTGGTAACTTCCCCCCAGGTAAGACCCCACCCTCCAGCTTCATTTGAATAAAGAAGCCACGTGTGTTGCTGAAACTTGTCCGGAGGGGTAGGCTGTACTTCTCTCCAAGCTGAGCCACCAATCCTGATCAGCAATAGCACAACACATCAATAATGCTGACGTTCATGACAAAACATATAAATAGGATGGAATGTGGAAAGATCTGATTAGTAACTGATATAAGTGACTGCGACATGTCATTTAAACATACACGTCTGACCACATTTACAATGCCTATTTGAGATGAATAAACTTTTTGTTAAATTATGAAATTTAATGAACATTATAAATGGATCTCAGGAACAAAATGTAATAATAAAACTGTATTTAACTCCTGTAATGATCAGGGATCATCTATTGTGGTGGTGTGTTTAGGGCAAATTAACTGGTAATTCACAATTCACAAACAAACCTTTTCACACTCTACTGAAGTTCAGGAGCTCACCTGCTATGTCATCTACCACTTCTGTGTAGGCTCGCCGTGCAATATCTAAGAATTCGCTGACATTGGGCCGCACAGCATAGCACTTCTGCGTGCGCATGGTCAAGCTACCTTTCATGTAGCTGGTGTCATCATTAATCAGTGATTTGATCTGATCCAGAATGCTGTTGAACCTAAACCAACACAAATGAGAAAAACATTAAAGATGAAATAGTAGTTTCTGTTGGGCTGCATGCTAGAACTCTAATTAAACCTTCAAATGCATATATAAAATGCTGATTGATCTCGATACACATGTGGGGCTCATAGAACCTCCTTGCGGTATACACAACACATCATCTACTCTTATGAAAGGACAGGCTCATATTTCATGTTAAACAAAAATGGCCAGTGCAAGATGTTAGCACATATGCAAATATAGTTCACTAATTGTATTACCTGCTGTCATCAAGTAAGGTGTAATATGCTTCCAACAAGGCTGTTTTGGAATGTGACAGCATCGCCTAATCAGGGAAAATATACTTATATGTGGCATAATTACATCTGCAACTGAGCATTTTAAAAGGCCTTCTCAACCAAGTCAGAAAAAAATACACTCAGTATACAATCATGACATATAGATAGATTTACATAATTACAGGTGTTTCATGACTTTACTTACACTTACCAAAATGCTACAAGTGATAGTAAATAAGGTCAATTGATTTAACTTTGACTTTACACTGAGGTGAGATGACTACTGCTCTTATTGGTAGCTGAAAGCATTAAAATATATGTCAAAATATGGGTACTGCAATTCTTTGGAAATCTGCTGAGCTTTCCAGTCATATTCAGTGCAGGCCTGAATGACTTTGTGTCTTACAGTACTATTTGACAGTATTTTTAAGAAATGCATAGGCACGAGTTACCTTCAATGATGGGACGAGTTCCAGAGTATGCTTCAGCTGAATTACTTGCATTATTTTTGCTTCAGCCACTGGTATCTACAAGATTAAACCATAAAAAAGATTACCTTTGCTAATTAGAGTAACTGCTAAATTAAATCTAACAATGGTGGCTTAAAAAGTCATTTTAAAGATGAAAATCTTGAATTTACAAGACAAAAAGCTCTCTTGCTGAAGGATTTTGCCTAGTATTTAACTAGACCTTCTGAAAAAAAGTAATGACATGCTAATTTAAATTGAATTTTAGTGAACATTTTGTAAAATCAATTACTCACCAAATCGCCCTGAATAAGAAAGCAACATTATTTTGGTCAATACTTAAATATGTACTTAAATTGGTAAATGTGTTTCTTATGCATACCGTCTCTTGCTTTGGGACCTGAATAAGAGCAGACAGCAGATCATCTATATCTAGGAAGTGTGCAATGGCTGTGAATTAAAGCACAACATCAATAAAGTCCCGGCACTTTTTGCACTTTTTCTGGACAGAGATCAGAAGCCCCAATGTGGATATTTTTTCTAAATTAATCCAAGATGCATATCAGAAGACGTATGGCTTCTTGCATGGAAAACTCAGTGTTCTATGACTCATTCATTAATCTGGAGAGATTTTGGGTGGAAATGTTTGATCAGATTTTTTATAATCCCTATGCAAAAATGTAAGTTCTCTGGGAAAGAGCACCCTTGCTGGAGGGAGTGCCGTTCTGCACAAGCTGACTCTGCCCACATTTTTTGGTTATATCCACATATTCAGTCTTTTTGGGGAAGGGCAGGACAATTAATATCAAGGGTAATAGGCTTTAACATAGATGTGTCATTTCCCACTATGTTTCTAGGGGTCACACCGGAGGGTTTGAATAAATGTGATAGTTATCTCTTAAAGATTTTTTTAGTTGCATGCAAGAAAGCAGTTACTAAATGTTGGCTTAAGAGAAGCCCTCCCGATATGGATCTTCTCCTAAGTATTGTCAGTCAAATATGTTCTATGGAAAAAATGACCTTCTCCCTATGGTTACAGAAGAATAAAGGGGGAAATCATTGGAGGAAATGGGATTGTTATATACTGCGAACAAGCAATGGCTAGATTTCCAAAGTGCACCTCAACTTCTATCTGTACTATGCGGTTCTTGATTTCTTATAAGACCTCATGTAACTGTTGTCGTTAATTGTTTTTTTTTTCTTTTCTATTTATTTATTTT